TTCTGTATGGGACTTCACCTCTGAGGTCACTCCCAAACATGAATTGTCTGCTTATTAAATAAAGGTACTCACAAGTGACATGTTACAAGAACAGAGGTCACAACTTCAAATGTAAAGGCAAGCCCAAATACCCCCACAGTTTCCTGTGAGTTTTGCAGTCTTTTCTGTTGGAAAGTTGTTATGTGTCAAACAAGACAAAAGAACAACTTTAACGTTCTCATCAAAATTCATAATAAAAGCTGTTTATACACCAAATAACCCATAAGGGAGAAAGGGGGAAGAGGAGGGAGGAGAGGAAGGGCAGGAGGATATGAATGGAAAGACAGTATCTATGTTTTCCTGCTCCTTTCTCCTCTTTGTAAATTTTCAACATCTCATTTGCAAACTCCTGCAATTTTTCTTGTATGAAGACAACAGCTTTCTTCATACTCTAATGGCAATGCTTTCCCTCCCTCTGACAGAACAGTGGTCAGGAACTGCCTTCTTAAAATATCACAGAGGACTTGAACTAAACAAATTAGTTTTATGTAAAGTCTCTCAGGTGTACAAGGTCAGAAGAAGAGGATAAAACTGAACTGGTAGAAAACATCAGAAAACAGCAGGACAGAAAAAGGTCCAGGATGTGGTGTTATAGAGCCTAACAAAGAAGAACATTACAGATGTAGTCTGTGTGGACTTGGTGTTCCAATCTCTATCTTCTGTCCTGGGCCAGCTAGAAATCACTGTTTCACTATGTGGACTGTATTGCACCAGTTCCTGACTATGCCCATAGCAATGATTCTAAGCTGGCTTTTAAAAACAAATCTAAATGAGCTGTCATGGACCTTAAGTTCCCATCCTCTAAGCACTGAAGAACTACTCCTTTGACCAATTATTCTGACCTCAGAAATACTCAGAAATGTTTTTTCTCCCCTCAAGGTGGATTAGAAAAAAAACCCAAACAAATAGAATATCTTTCTGAAATGTACCAAATCTGACTTGAAAGAGCCCAAGCAAAGACAATCCAGCTTCTTTGCCCAGTAAGCTCCTTTAATGTTTAGCCAACCTCATTGTTAGAAAATGGCAAGGTTACTTTCAACCTCCAAAGCTATTCTATTGCAGATGGTACTTACTATTTAGTGCCATCATGAGAAGTTCTTTATATGCATGAACACCCTTATGCAATGATCTTAAGAACATATCATTGACTAACATATAGTGACTCACTGTCATCCTGTGGCACATGAAGGAGAGTGAGTAACTGGATAAAACACTATCCTTCCCCCAGTATATCACTTCAGTTTCGTGCGACAAGGTATGCTGGGATTTCCCAAGTGGAAAGCTACTTCTAGATCTTTGCATTCTCAGGTAAAACAGCTGTTCACCTCCTTAAGATTCTCATTGTGTAAGTTTGGTTTTCCCTGACGCTGGGTCATTTCTGTGCCTTTTGGCATTCACAGCACCATTTCATGAGAAGCATGTGGAAAGATTCTCTATGACAGACCACTAAAACACTGTCCCTCTACTCTCAAAGCTGAAGCTACATCAGTAATGAGGCCCTGTGACTCAGATTCTCTTGATAGCAAAGCTCTCAGCCTGGGGTTTCTCTCAAAAAGAATGTGAATATTTTAACTTTCTGGACCTGTCAGCTCCTATGCTTGGAGTACGCAAGCATTATGAAAGACCTGGAAACTTCTGCCAATTTAATTTCTGACAAATACCTTCTGCAAGAGAACTGGACTCACAGTGTTTTTTCTGACTTCTATTTTGGGTGTTATTGCATGTTCTGTGTTTCACCATGACCTGCCTGAGTCCACATTTTACAGCTTTTAAAGCTAGTCAATCTGCTCATGCTTTTAATTTTGCCACGTACTTTTGGCTTAAAGCACTCTATGCGAAATCAAAAGAAACAAAGTGTATCTAGCAAGACTGCACTGTTTCCCTTTCAAAGATGAAAAGTGTCTTTGTATTGTGTGTGTTTTGCCTCTTCTATCCTCTTAGTAAGGAGTAAACTGCAGATGAACTTCAGACTCCTCTCCTCTGAGCTGTGCTGAAATTCTGCCTCTCTTCAAAGCAGCCTTTTGATTCTTCTAAACACACTGCAGCTTGGCCCCTCTTTTCCTTGACACTTTGCCAAGCCTATTACACATGTCTGAGCAACCAGGGCAATAGAAGAATTATGATTTCCATTTGGCCAAGTCTAATTTTCACTGGCTTTGAAATACAGCAATTGCTTTTCTTTTGTTTTATTTTTTTTTCTTGTCATTTTGTTGTTTCTCTTTTCTTTTTTTCTCAGAAAAATTGAACAATAAAAAAATCCTAAGATAAAATCCCCTTTCCTACACCACTTTTTTATAAAATAACTACTTATTTTTTCCAGAACAAGATTTCATTGTCTGAAGATGATATTTCTTTTTGCAGGAAAAAAATGTGCTAATGAGGTCATATATAATAAGAACATATGGAATTGCCTCACCATTATCTCCATTTCAACTGTTTTGGAAGGAAGATGAAAGCAGGATATGTGTGTGTGTGTGAAGGAAGGCAGTAACCATGGCTAGTAGAGCATTCCTGCACCATATGAGTGGGAATGCATGTACTTCTGAGGCAAAAGTATTTGCTTTTCAGAAGGGACTATGCAGGCTGGAGGAATAAGCCAATGAGGACCTTATGAAATTCAATAAGAACAAAGTCCTGTGTCAAGCAAGGAATAACTTCTTGGAACAATACAGGTTAGGGACTTACTAGCTGGGGAGCAACTCAGCACATGCTTGGGCAGGAACATTGCTGGACACAAACAACTCAGGAGTTTCTGGAGTTGCTAAGGATAATTTACTCATGGATGTGTTGGACAAGCCAGCAGAAAATCTGGGTAGAGAACAATTGATCAGGAAAAAGAAAGCAGTTTTATGATGAAAGCTGCAGTGATTATAAGGTGGTAACATGCAAATTTCCAAGTGATATGAAGGCAAGCAGCGACATTACCAACCTGCACTACATGAAAGCATACTTCAGCTTGTCCAGGGAACTGACATAAGGATTGCCTGGGAGGCAGCATGCCAAGGCAAAGGGCTCTGGCTCTTGACTGTTAGTTGGCTTATCTTCCAAGCCAGCTTCTTAAAGCCCAAAAATGGTCCATTCCAATCCTCAGGAAAATGAATAAGTGTGGCAGGAGGGTGGCCTGGCTGCAGTGGGAGTTTCCAACTAAGCCCAGACAAGAAAAGGAAACATTTGCAAGGTGAAAACAGGGACAAACAGGAAGAATACAGAAGAGCAGCATGTATAGAGGATGTGGAAGGCCAAAACTTGCCTGAAATTGAAACTGTCAGTGTATCTGGAGAGTAGCATTTTACTGAAAAATTTTTCTGTAGGACTTCCCAGAGAATAGTGCCAAGGGCAGAGTGTGGGGAGGAAGGAAGAGGAGTAATATCCGGAGCAGAGGAAGATGGAGATAAGGACCACTTAAGCAAAGTAAACCTACACAGCCAGTGGGTCCTGATGGGGTACTTCCAAGGTTGCTGAGCAGGCTACTCTCTATAGTTTTTGAAATTTCACAGTGATCAAAGAAGTTCCTTAAGATTACAAAAAGAAGTACATCTGTTTTTTATAAGAAAAGGGGAAAAAAGATACATGAAACTGCAGGTCTGTCCACAGTCTCTGGAAAGATTATGAAGTAAACCATTCTGGAAGCCATGCCCAGACATAGGAAGAACAAGGTCAGTGGGAACAGCCAGCATGGATTTACCAAGTTATCCCAACAAAACTGATTGCTTTCTCTGATGACATATATCCATGATTATGGATGAGTGGAGAGAATTATATGTTGCTCACCTTGACTTTAGTGAGACTTTTACAGTTTCAAATAACATCTTTATAGAAAAATACGGTTTGAATGAACAACTTAAAAACTGTGTGAGAAACTACCTAGACTGCTGGGTTCAGTTTAAGTGTCAGCTGTTCAAAAACTAGTTGACAGTCAGTTACCAGCTATGATCCCTGATGGTCAGTAAGGGGGTAGATGTTGTGCAGTATTTTCATTAATGACCTCAACAATGGGTCAGAATGAATTCTTGCTGAGTTTGCAGATGATGGCAAATTGTGTAGATTACTTGAAACACTGGACAACAGAATTGTCATTCAGAAGGACTTTGATAAACTGGAAGAATGGCCAGACAAAAGTTTCCTGTAGTTCAGTAAGGGCAAATGCTTCGTTCTGCATTTGGAACATGACAGCTCCATGCAACAGCACAGGCTGGGAACTGACTGGCTCAGTGACAGCCTTGCAGAAAAGGACTTGGTTCTGATGGACAGCAAGGACAAGGCAAGTCAGCAACACATGTTAGTGAAGGGTAACCACTTTGTTGGTAAGACTGTAGAGACTCTGGTTTGTTTAGCTGGGAGAAGAGGAAGGGCAACTTGAAGTCTTCCATTAACAGAAACGAGATTGTAGAGAAGTCTATGCTGGACTTTTCTCAGTGGTGCCCAGGAAAAGGACAAGAAACGAGTTGCAACAAGAGAAAATCCAACTGAACTGAAAGAAAACTTCACAGTGAGAGTGGTCAGATGTTGGAATAGATTTCCTTGAGAGACTGTGTGAACTCCATCCTTAGAACTGCTCAAGACTTTGACTTGACATGTCCACAAGCAAACCAATCCTAGTTTGCCTTCCGTATTAAATTGTCGTCTGCATCCATGATTTGCAATGCTGATGAAATAAATAGGTGCTGGGAGGACAGATATGTATATGGGGTTGCCTCTGCTGTGCTATTCCTAGAACTCAACCTACAAAATATTGCCTCTAGCATACTGGATGTGACTTCCTTCAAGTGTCTAAGAGGTTTTGATGAAAGAAAGATCAATTAATGGATATGAAAAGATCTATCAGTTCTTCATACTAAAAGGGAACTCAAAGGACCCTATTCCTTATGAGAATATTTTCTACATGCTTGATTTTATCTTTATCTGCATCCACTAGATGTTCAAAGGAAGAGAACTGACACACATTTCTCTTCTTGCTATAGATTCCTCTTGGGTGGACATGATTTCAGGATGAGAAGAGGATGAACTTCTGGATCCAAACATCATTATGTCCCTTGTCAAAATGTCACAGGAGCCTGAAGTGACTAGAAAAGCCTGAGGTGACAGAAGTCTTTGCTATTCTCACCAGCAAACACAACCCCCTGGGATTTTTGTAAGAATAGTGTTCTAATCTAAACTACGGTCAGACTGACAGTTATTCCTCTAGAAAATATGGCTACTTGTGCTTGAGTAAAGAGTCTGGTACAATAAAACTGGATCATCATACTGAGTCAGTTAGTGCTGAGGCTTCTATTCTTCACTACATGCAGACTGAAAGCCTTCTGGTCTGAAGGCTTGGGTGTCCCTGTCATGCATATGTGTTGAACTTATACAAAGAGAAGCCCTCCCACAAACCTTTGCTTCCTTGCTTATGAGCCCATCTGTGAAGAACCACATTATTGTTTTGCATTTCGAGCAAATGACGGGGACATCTTAATGTTCCTGTCAGCTCTAATAAGGCTTCCCATATTTAAAGAATATTTAATCTGCCTTTATTTATGCATTTCCAAGTGACATCATAATGCTGCTATCTGAACTCCCCAGTTCTACTTCATTCAATGTTCAAAAAAAGTGTCACAGGTGGAGTATGAGGGATGACAACAGTGGCCTTGACTCTACAGCAGATACTCTGGGAGAACACTTGAGAACAGTGATGCTGCCTCTCTTCCCCTGTCATGGAGAAATACTGGAAGCCCTTGCCACTGTGACTGCTTTGGCTGTGGTTCTGGATCTGAGGCAAACTCTGACTGATGAAACAGAATTGTTCTTAGGACAGAGTACAGTCAGCAGTGAAAGCCTTTCAGAGGTTGTAGGGCAAGTCTGAGGTCCTCAGCTATGAACTAATGCTATGTTTTCATTGCCATTGGACCCAGTTCTGTGAGGCCATAGCTGTGTTAGAGAGTGACTGTTGCCCTGGGGAGTCAAAATTTTACACCTAGTAATGGAGTAGTTTGGTGTAGGCAAGACCATCACAGACAGAAAGGTGACTGATACTTCAGGGGTATTCTATAACGCACTTTTTTTTCCAAGCGAGTGAGAAACATCAGCATGACTATTCAGGAATTTAGTCAGATGCAGTCAGCTGAAACAAGTGCAGAAAAACATGGGCAATATTTTGAACATTAAGTGACATTCATCCCCTTGGAGTGATATAACCAGCTCCCCAAAACATGTGGAGGTAGTGTTATATCAGATTTGTTAAGGCGTTGTCCTATTACAGGGACAGATACTACTTCTGAAGTGACCACAATAGCTCTGAGGAAGATGTAAATACAGCATCAGAGGAAAAAAAGTCATGAAAGAAAAAGAGAGAAGGATAAATAAAGGTTCTGGTCATTGGGCCATACCACCAGGAGAAGCACAGCAGATGCCAGGCCTGCAGCCTAATCTCACACCTAGGGTCAGGAGGGAACCGAGAAGAGCATGCTTGGGAAGGGGGTGGGACTACTGCTTACTGTTACTGAGCAGAAGCCATATGAGGTCACTGGTGAAGGATCAGTGGCTAAGAAATTATTTGACCCCCATTGGTGCACTGCAGATGGACTGTGACAGTTATCTGGCTTCAGGTCATTGTCAGACAGCCAAATGCACAAGTCCTTTAGAAGGAGACAAAGAATTTAAGTATTTCCTGATGGCTTCTGACATTGCTTGTAATTTTATCAAGTGTGCAAGTACTCTGCAGTGACCAGGAACATAACTGGAGGCACACATGGACCGATCACATGCCCCCATGTCTATGTGAGACACTCACCTACCCATGCTGCAGACAAGCTGTCCTTGGTATTTCCAACTATCTGAGGTCAATCAAGATTCAAACTACATTTTGAGATGGTCTGCTTTCTGGAGTGTCAGGATGGTGCTGCTTAAGGAGGGGATATTAATGTTATGTCCACAATAGCATTCCATACTCAAATAAAAAGGATTAAAAAAAATGTAAGTAAGATAAAGAACTAGACAGCAATGGGAGACAGGGAAAAACCTCATCAGTCACCTATTAGTTAGCTTCACTTCTTGTTTATTAGTATTATATTTATGTGGTGCTCATAGCTGTTTTGTGTGTGGACTGTTGCTGTGCGACAGCAAAACTTGCCACAAATTAAAATTCACCCAACTTACATGAAAAGAAGAGAAAAAGAGCTACCTGTTCTCAGCATGAATTTTTTTTCAACTGATTTCATCCTAGGCAATTAACTTCTTGTGAGAAAAGACCTATTTTGTGCCACGGGGGAAGGAAAAATACCCATGCCATAAAATATACTGAAGGCTGAAGCAAATTGAGCTGAATTCACAAAGTACTCAAGCAAAGAGGTCAAGTGAAATTGCTCCATAAAGTGTTCATTTCTAGCCTTTCTTCAGAGCTTCAACCAGCACAGCAAAAACTCTGATGCCCCATTACCCTTATTTCAAATACTTGCTTCTCAGCAGCTCGGTTCCCACAATGGTGACAGAAGGCATTTCTCAAAAAAAAGGGAAAAAAAACCCCAACAAACAGACCAAATCCCAAAACTTGTCAACTCATCCAGTTCAATGCAGCCTACCCATGGGCAAACAAAACCAAGTTTTTTCCATTTTTGCCTTGCAGGGATCATCATTTCAGCACTAAAGAATTCCTCCTGAAACAAAACAAAATAAAATAAAGAATATGTTTGATGGTCCATTGTCTATCTTTTTCTCCCCCCTGTTTTTAAAAGCAAAATCAGATCAATACAGCTGCCCTTCCTAGATATCAGACATACCCTGCCAAGATAAGCAGCCCCTCACATATCTGATCAAATGTCATTTAACTCCCTACAATCCAAACAGTAGAATCAAGGTTGGAGCTGCAAATAAGGACTTGAAATCCTTTCTTCTCCATAAGATGGATCACTTTTTAACTGCGAGAGTGAAGTTCCTGCACCCAGTATTTAGAGTTGTTGAGGATAGAAGATGTCAGCCGGAACTGTCTTCAATACATCTCTACATAACAAGCTGGGGACTTACCTCTGTGATTTGTTCCAGCAGTGATCTAACTGCAGGAACTGACAGTCACCTGGTAACTGGTTATTCAAAGAAAGCTTTCAGTAGTCTTATCCATTTGGATTAAAGCCAAGAAAACACCACGGTTCATGTCTGTGTCTATGGATATTCTCTTTTCTCACAAGGCCCCCTTCGCAACATAGAACAAATTTATCAGCAAGCACAAATGAACTACTCATGCAGAAAATGCTGGGGACAACAGGCCTAGGAAAGCTATCTCATTAAGATTAGTAATTCAGGAAAAAACTACGAAGCAGGGTTGAGCTGCCTGCAACGGGAGAGATTAGAGCTGGCTGGTGTAAACTTTTTTAGACTTCTGAGGGTAAAAACCTTAGCCAAAAGAAGTCTTTAAACATGGCACTATATTTTAACTACAGCAGATTTGTTTCTCTTTTTCTTTTTTATATGGCCAGAGGGCCCTGCAGTATGTTTATTTCTCTTTATTGCAAGTTGTGTGTTATGTTCACCTGTTAGTTAACTATTATTTAATTGTGTTAGGGCGCAAATGCAAGCGCTTGCACATTATTACTAGTGCTTTAATTCAGAATACATGTTGACATGGTTTTGACCTGTGCCAGTCATCACTGTAACATAGAACCAGGTCTCATTTCAGGGGAGGGCACAAGCTACAGGCTTTTCCAGGTAGGCTGTCTAAAACAATACTACTTCAGTTTGTTCCCTCTGGAAAGAACCATTTCAGTGACCACAGCTGTTGCTGTAAGGCACTGTGCACCTTATGTCAAAGTCTGCATGGCTTCAGAGAAGAAGCTTTCTCTGTCGTTTATCCACAGTGCTCTGTGCTCCCTTTGTCTGGTCTGAAGAGTATCAGTTACCAGAGAAAAATTCGCAGACCCCATTTGTGGATCAATGAACAAATATATTTGCCTTTCTTTCAGGCAGACCTATGTGATGACACCATCCCTGAGGGTTTCTTGCACCCTTCACATCTTCTTGCACCCTTCACATCTTCTTGCATTCTTCACATCTTCTTATAGCTCTTGCTATACACAGAGAAGCTACCTGGGTGCCAGCCACAGCTGGAAGACCTTTAGATATAGCAGAGAAAAAAAGGAGTGTGACTAAGTTAGGAGAAGAGAAAATAAGGTGTGAAGCAGAATATGGACTTAAAAGTGTTTTCTTCTTCCAAAGTATAAGAAAATATAGTGGTTTACCAGCATCCTGCTCTTTTTCATGGCACATGGGAAAGCTGCAGGAGGCCAAGCAATGATTTCTCTTCCTGAAGTGGCAGTCAATGCCATGCTTCCGTATCAGACTCATCTTTCATCTTCTTATGAGCAGCCTGTGGCTTACCAGTGTAAGCAGGTCTGGATTCCATTGCCAACAGCCCACTTTGATTTCTCATGGAGACTTGAAATCTATACAACAGATTGTCTGGTTTCAAAGCTGTTTTAAGCAGAGCTAGAACAATCATCTCACATGATAAAGCAACACCTTTCTGGTATGGGCCTTTTTACAGGCAGTTCAAAAAGTAGAGAAATTTTTCCCAAGTGTCCTATCTCCTTTGTAAATACTGAAGTGTGTTTGACAATCCACAACGAAGAAAAGAACACAAAGAAAATGTGTGCAGAAATACTCTTTCTGAACTGGTACCAGTGCCAGCAAGGGCTGGGGTTTAAGGGCTAGGTTTTATTTCTAGATCCACGGAAATTGTCCAAGAGCAGATTTTTCAAAAAATGCAAGATTTACATCTAGAGTTCCAGTTCTGGAAGGTGAAAGCTGGGCTGTGGCATGCAGACCAGGGGTCAGAGTTTACCTGCAGTGCTCATAGATGACTATTAGTTAAGCTACTCTAAATGCCAACCCACAGTCTAATTAATAATGTTAATAGAATCACAGAAATACTTACATTTGAAGAGACTTCTGGAGGTCATCAGATCCAGTCACCACCTAAAGCAGGGCCAACTTTGAGCTAGTCTGGGCAGGACCTTGAGCAACCTGATCAAAGTATCTCAAGGTAGTGTGAGAAAGGAATGGTAGATTCATGGCGGGGGATATGAATTAGCATTTCAGAAAGTGTGTTTGGGAGATCTGGGGAAGGAATAGAGAGTGTGAGCAAGAAAAAACCCCCGGTTTTTGCTAAAAAAATTGTTCATAGATGCAAATGTTGGGGTCAATTTTGTTTTTTCTCAATGGGGATGTAGCTTTTTG